CTCCTCCTCCTCCTCCTCCTCCTCCCTTCCCTTCTGGCTCTCCCTGTTCCTGCCCTCCTTTCCCCATTCCCCCCCGGCTTCGCGTCATAAGGAGCACGTGCATGCCTTCTGCCCATCTTTCTCTTCTCCGCTTCGTCTCAAGGTGCTGGGGAGGGATGACCTGACTCGCAGTAGCTCCTTGTGAGGGTATTACCGAAGGAGAGGAAAGGGGGGGAATGTGACTCCGGCAGGGGGGGCGACACAACCACGCCATGCTGACCCTGCCAGTCCGTGCGTAGACATCAGCAACGGCGGCTGTGCCGTGTGGAAAAAGAAGTAAAGGAGCCATTTTCCCGTCAGCCACGCACGTGAAAGTGGCGAGTATATGTTGCAAGCGCCCCCCTTCCCCTCTGCCTGTCTACCCTACCCGTGGATGCCGACATGGAAAACAATGTCGTGGTGGTCACGAGTGCCAAGCCTGCAGCTGTTGTCAGCAGCGGTACGCTGTGCTTGGTTTTTAGTGGGTGTTGGGAAGGCCCGTGGGGTGTATTGTGCTCCATCGCCCACACGGTGTGGTACGTTTTAGTGGCGCTTGTAAGGGCCGCGATACGCGTGCTCCTCCAAGGTTGCCACACCGGCCACTGCAAAACTCTAGCGAACGCTTAAACGTGGTGGGACAGGATCTAAAAAATGCCTGTAGATGTGACGTGCAGGAGGGGATGGAGCCGTAAGCATGTTTGGTGGTACCTCATTGACAAGCGAGACGTGCGGGAGAGGGCTACCTCGCTCGCCCACAGTCGACGGGGGGGAATGCGAAATAGGGCGGTCAGGTTTGCCATTGACTCTTGCGTGTCGTTCATGGATGTACGGCAACTGCGATAGGTGATCTTGGAGCGTCCTGGCGTCCGACCTTTCTTGTCTGATTTTTTGGTGACCAAGGAGACATGTAAATTCCCTGTCTTGTGCTTGTTTTCAATCCGTCCATACACATTCAAGGAGCACCAGACTCACACCTTCCGCCCCTTTTCGATCCCACATGACCAATACAGCGCAGCCCATGCCTCTACTCGAAAGAAAGTGAACAAAAAAAGTGGGAAAAAAACCCTTCTGCAGCATATTTATTCCCCCGTCCCCGACATCAACGAGCGTCATCGCAACTCCTTGGCCGCCCCCCCGAGGAATGGACACTCAACCACCTCCGACAACCACTTCGATCGTCCCTGGAGCGACCTTGATCGTGGAAGATGCCTGTGACTTTTTCGACCTCTCCGATTTCCTGTTTCGTGCCCGTCTGGCCCCTGGGAAGTTGGCGCTGGCCGTGACAGGGACGAAGGAGGAAGGGCAGGTTGGCGTTTTGACTTCACGGGGACGGCCTATCCTGGAACTCCTCGATACGCGGGCCATGGGGTCCCGGCTAGGGCTCAAGCCTTGGAGTGCGTCTCGCCAGGCATCGGGGCGAGAAGGCGGCAATGGACGAGGGGCGTCTCTATCCGTGGAGACCCTCATGGATGCAGTCGGGAAGACCCACAATCTGGTGTCGGTCTCGTTGGCCGTGGACGATCCCTCTGAAACAGCCCAGCAATGCCTTGCTGCGGGGGCCACAGCCATGGAGGTGGAAGATGGCGGGGTAGAAAAGGGCGAAGTGGTGCTGGTGCCATGGGGGGGCGGCCGAGGAGGAGGGACGGAGTACCATGAGGAAGGAAGGGAAGGAAGGGAAGACAGAAGACGTGGGGATGGCGGCGAGGAGGGTACGCCAAAGGGCGGCTTAATCCTCTTCCTGAGGCTCGGCGAGGCGCATGTCGGTGGCCAGGACAGTGGCGGGAGGAGGGAACGGGCAGAGACCGGTGGGGAGGTCGTGCGGCAAGACGTGAGGAGGAAGGAAGGGGAGGGAGGGGAGGTGCAAGGCGGCCCGCAAGGTGTTCGAGAAGCGACTGAGGCGTGGGTAACCGAGGCGAAGGGCCGGGAAAGA